ATACAGGTGTTGTACTTCCCTCAGAAAACCCGCGACATGTGAGGGACTGAGGGAAGCCATCGGCAATCAGCAGAAGGCAAGTTCCCAAGCAAAGACGCCCAACTAAAGGATGAAGCCTCCAGAAGAATCAACACATCTACCCCTTTTCCCTCAAGTACCTTTCGGCAAAAGGAGTGAGGGACTCCCGATGGAGTATATGGCCCGGGAACCCCCGGCCCATAGACTCCTACTTCTCCTACACAAGTCCATTGAGCCCAGAGAACATCTCAGGCCCAAATGCAACGGCCCGAACCTCGAAGAAGCCCAAAACACGCACTGGGGTGCCTTCGGCCTCCTTGGCCGAAGGCTCCGAAACTCACAGGATAGCCTTCTTTGGGCATACGAAGCTACTGGGAGAAAACGGGGAAAAACAGGAGCCTTCGGCATTATCAAGCCCTCGGCATCAGAGAAGCCCTTGGCTGAACCAAGCCTCCGGTCACACAGGGCCTTCGACTACGCAGGGATCCTCGGTTACATGGAGCCTTCGGCTACACAGAGCCCTCGGCCGAAGGGGAAGCCTTCGGCAAACTATTTAATCGTCAAAGATTCCCTTTGGAGACAGGCAACCACCGCATTTAATGCAACGTCACATCCACCAACCGCATTCAATGCGGTGAACATGCCACTGCCGGTGCCACCCGATTGACGTGACCCTTCGGCCGTTGGATTACTGACACGTGTACTCTCATCACATTTATTGCTGCTATAAATAGCAGCCCTTATTCTCATTGTAAACCACGCTGAGTTCATTTAATAAAATCGACTCTCTCTCCTCCTATTTTGCTCTGACTTCTCTCTAGTTGTTCCCGCAATAACCCCTCGGATAGGATACCCCCGGGTAGACTGTCCATCAGACACTTTTAGTCCTCTCATTATGATTTTGACACAATAAGTGGAGGACTAAAAATGTCACTATTATAATAGTTGAAGGACCAAAAGTGTCACTTTTATGAAAGTTGAAGGACTAAATATGAAAATTTTCAAAGACGGGTACCAAAAGTGTCTCTAGCGCAATAGTCAAGGACTAAAAATGGAAAAATCAAAGTCGAGTACCAAAAATGTCAATGACACAATAGTCGGATGACTAAAAGTGGAAAAAACTCATTAAATTATTATCGAATTATAATACGAAGTATATGAATATGAATAATATAAAAAAAAAACTTCAAACTAAATTATACTCCGTATTAAAGAAATCATACTAAACAGATCTGGAAATTTTATCGGACCGGCCCACAAAATTTCATGCCCTTAAAAACATCCGGGTGATGCTCACGTCGCCAACAAAGTTGCTATGCACACCCACATTTTGTCTGAACAAGTTTATCCTTATCAGAGCTCACGTCACTTTGCTAGGCGCACCACCACATCCGTAAAGCTCTCCCTTAATATATGCAGGAATTCTTTCGCATAGGATCACAAGAGCCAAGACTAATTTTGCTCTCCCTCCAATAACCTTCTACCATGTGGCTAATTTTGCTTTTCTTTATAAAATGTTATGTTATAACTTTTCCAATTTTTCTCCTATTTTAATAAAATTTATATCAAATTAAATAAATTTTTATAATCTTTCATATGATACCAATATCATATATGTAAAAATTAAAAAAACATTTGATCAAGTCTATTGAACGGCCGATTAATGTATATTTACTACGTAGTACGTACTACCTTCATAACATTCATATCTTCTTTTACTTTTTGGCTATAACATTCATATATTCTCGTTTCTAAATCTTCTAATCATACCCTCAATAATTTTAAAAATAATAACATATTTACATTACAGTGGTAGTAGTACTTTTAAAATCTAGTCTAGTCTGATCTGATAGAAGTGCCGTGAGTTTGACTCAGGACAAATATAGTGACATAAATATGTTCTCATTTGAAAAGTAGGTAGATTAAGAATAGTGAGAGGAGATATGATTATTGAGAGTATGATGAGAATATGGTGAAATAATGTGACGAAATGAAGGATAAATCCAAAAAAGTAGTTGTAATAGTTATTATTTTTAAAATTATTGAGAGCATGATTAGAAGATTTAGAAACTAGAATATATGAATGTTATAGCCAAAAAAGAAAAGTAAGAAGATATGAATGTTATGAAGGTAGTATGTTATAAATATACATTAATCGGCCGTTCAATAGACTTGATCAATTTTTTTTTTTTAATTTTTACATATATGATATTGGTGTCATAAAAAAGATCATAAATAATTATTTAATTTGATATAAATTTTATTAAAATAGGAGAAAAATTGGAAAAGTTATAACATTTTATAAAGAAGAGCAAAATTAGCCACATGGCAGAAGGTTATTGGAGGGAGAGCAAAATTAGTCTTGGCTCTTGTGATCCTATGCGGAAGAATTCCTACAAATATTAAGGGAGAGCTTTACGGATGTGGCGGGCCTGCCTAGCTTGACGTGAGCTTTGGCCAAGGATAAACTCAGGGCCGGCTCAATAAATTAGGAGATCCGGTGCGAGTCACAAAAAATAGGTCTTATATTAAATCAATATAATATCAAAAATTAACCTTAGAAAATCCAAAAAAAAACTACAAACAAATGTGAGATTGAGAAATGGTCACTTTTTCGAATTTGAACAAATAAAATTAGTAAAAAAAATCTAAAATCGGAAATGAACGAATGAAAATAGGATAAGAGAAAGTGAATTTTTTACCTTTGGTTGGATAACCTGAATAGTTAGATCATTCGGTCAAATAAAGTAATCAACTATTTTAAAAAATAATTACTCTATATATATACACTATATAGATTTTACAAAAAAATGGGCCTTATATTTTTCGAGGCCCTGTGCAGAGGCGCGCTTTGCACGCCCTCATCTACGGCCATGGATAAACTTGTCCAGATGTGACAAAATGTGGGTGGGCATAGCAACTTTGGAGCTGCGTGGAGCAGAGGCAAAAACATCATAGTCTATCTAATACAGAATGCTTCGTATCGTATACTCCCTCTGTCCCTTAAAACTTCGCCAACTTTCCTTTTTTGGATGTCCCACTAACTTTGCCACTTTCTCTTTTTAGTAAAGAATGTATGGTTCTACTCTATGTTGCACAGATACTTCACCTCGACGTCGTATCCGCGTATCCGATACGTATCCGTATCCGATACTCACCGATACGCGTCCTGTACGTATTGGGTCCGTATCCGTAATTTAATAAAATTATCGGCCTTAATTTTAAGAATATCAATACTTCTGATACCCATATCCGTGAACCGATACGCGTATCTGACTCTATAAGCCCTCATTTGATACACGACATGACGAAAATTTAGTAGCCGCCCAAGTGACCACAACATGTGGAACATTGATAAAGATGGTTTCGGGAGTATGAAAAATAATGGAATACTATAATTTGTCATTTCATTGCTTGATGAGCTTTAATTGAAACAAGGCATAGATGTAAATGCAAATAGAGAACAAAAAAATGTTATTTGAATTTAAATCAAAATATTAGTACTTTTGTTTTTTTAGTTTTTTTAAGACTAATCTTTGAAATTTTATTATAATAGTTAATTTTTTGTACTATTATTATTTTATTTATGAACCCTTGAATTATATATATTTGCAAATTATACCCTATATTTTTATTATTTATAAATATACCCCCGTACCCATATCCTATAATTTTTGAAATTACCGTATCGCCGTACCCGTATTCGTGTATCCGCGTATCGGCGTATCAGCCGTATCCGTGCAACATAGCTACTCTTCTACTCCCTCCGGTCCTTATTAAAGTTCTCACTTTCCTTTTCGGGATGTCTCTTATTTAAATTCACACTCCCATTTTAGAAAACAAAACAGTGCCAAACAGTGTCCAAACAGTGCACTCCACAGTAAAGTCAAATTTATTTTCTTAATCTGTGTGAAATCAAACTGAGAACTTTAATTCTCTCTCCTCTGCACAAATCTCAACCACACATTTTTTACTTTATTAATCCCTGTGACGATCAAACTTGGCAAAGTTTAAGGGACGGAGGTACTGAGGTAGTACTACGTAATAGGGGTGGGCAAACGGGTCTTGGAACCGCGGTCCGGTCTGGGTAATGGCGGTTCGGGTCCAAAACGGGCCGGTTCCATTTTTTGTTGCCATAAAACGGTCCGGGTAGGGTCGGGTAATTTTTTTAAGGAACCGGACCGGTTCCAAAACTAAAAAATAACGTGTACTCGGCCCGGCCCGTTATATATATTGTATATTAATTTATTAATAGTTTTGTGATAATCGGTTTTGAAATAGTTTTGTTTCCTTTGCTAGAAGTAGGATTTTAAATTGAGTTGCAGTAACATCCTTTTGTTTTCAAATTATTGATTAAATGTTTCATAAATATCTTATTACGGAGTACTTTTTATTGTTATTGAATTATTCCTTTCTATGGAATTTATTTACTTGTTAAAGATGATTTTGTTAAATTTTTTTTTTATATTGTTATTAAAATATATAAATTGTGTTTACCATCCACCATGTATGTGTCAACTTTGGCTAATACTGAAAATTTAATATTAAAAAGCAATCACTTTAATATGTGATGTTAGACAATATGTTTAAATACAAATGTTAGAAAATATGTATTTTGGCTATGTTGCATATTTTTGGAATTTCTTTAATTGTTTGAAACTTATATACAAAAAATTATGGAGTATCGGACTTTTCGCTTGTGTTATATGTGCACCACTATGTTGTTATTTTGAAACTTGCTAATGTCCTATATTATTGATTATTGATTTTTGGAACTTTGTGAGTTTTTACTAATTTCAAGATATGAGAATAGAAACCGTAAAACCCGGACCGGACCGACTCGTTTCAAACGGGCCGGGTAATTTTCAGTTCCTATTTTGAAAACTGTAATACTCGGACTGGACCGAACTGTATAATTGAACCGGGGCGGTTCCATTTTATTTTGCATTATTACCCGCCCGGACCGCCATTGCCCAGCCCTACTACGTAATATAGAAAGCGGAAGTGCGGAACAAACAAGTTGGTGACTTGGTGCGCTGAAAAATCAACATCGCGGACTTGTTCGTTGGAAAGTCTGCCTACCACACGCACAAGATACGACGACTTGGCTCCTTCTCTACTTTCTTCATCGCTATTAGTTGCATCTGCAAAAGTTCTGGACTCCATCCTCCAGTCGAAAGGTAATTTCCCCTTCTTCAAGAAACCGAGTCTTTTATTCTCTAGGATTTACGTCCATCCGTTTACGGATCTTCATTTCATTTCCCCTTTTTGGACTTTAAATCGTTTTTCCTCGTTTTCGGAAACCGAATCTAGTATTTCTTTTTTCTTTTGACGTAAATAGAATGTTTATGAATGTAGATTTTCCCAGAACCTAGAATTGAACGATCGCGGCAGCTTCTCAGCTTCTGATATTCTTCTCCGCCTGTTTTGAGCAATTCTGAGCACTTTCTGCGCGCGCACAGGTATAATTGCATATATCAACAGTTTCTTTACCATTTTCAACATTGTTTACTGCTGATAGTTTTCTATTCAATTCACACAATCTGAGAATTATACATTGCTTCTTTTAGGCACGCTAATAGAACCCTAATTATATAAGGAGTATTAATTTGTGGTCAATCTGTTAGTTGGAATAGCTCAGGGTCTTAATTAATATACTCTTTAATTGCTTAAGAGATATCCGGTGTGGGACAACAACACCCCTCCACCAGACACTTCGTTTGGTTTGTGTCGTCATTGTCATTTTTTTTATAATCGTGTCATCAAGATCTGAGGTTTCATCCTAAAAGGTCAACCTGATAGGAGGAGGGGAGCTCAGATCTTAATATAGTGTTCAATTGTTTCAAAGATATCCGGTGTGGGATTTAACACCCCTCCTCACAATTGTACAATGTGTATGATCTGGTATTATTACCTTGTAATCTTATAATGTATAACTACATTTGTTATACACTTATAACGACTGATGATTGTTACTGTTTGTCAATTTGAGTATATCTGGACCTCCCTTTATGCACTTCTGGCCTAACATACTTGCAAATTTAGTTAGTCTTTCAACATAACAAACTGATGAATTGGATACTTATTTTCATATATGAAATTGTGTCGTTTGACTTGTTTGTAACTTTCATCTTCGTGCAGGTCACCTCTCTCTGTAAGGAATGGATCTTTTCTGTTTAAATGATGACTCTTCACCTTTTCAGCAAGACATTATGAGGTGCCCATTTTTGCGGAACATTAATGAGCCTACAAATTTCTCTTTCTCAAGCTCCATGGCATTCCCAATGGCTGTAAGTAATGAACTTTTGCAATACTTGTAGGGTCCTTTTGGAATCTGGGAAAAACTATAGAAAAAGAATAAGGAGGAAAATAAAATAAAAGCTCAAATTCAATAACTATATTAAAGATAATTGTTTGAAGTGATTTTACTTATCTAGATCTATGTTTTATTATATTACTACACATTATATTTCTTTTTACTTTTTTTTTAAAATGTAAATGAGTAAATCCAAACATAAAACCATGACTTTCCTTAAGCATCTTTCCATTTTCTGTTGTGTTTTTCTAGATGCAAACACACACCTAGCGCAGTGTATGGATAGTGTTTTCTCATCATTGTGTATGTATATTATCAGGTACGTGAAGGGAAAGGTCCTATATTTGAGGATGCTCCCAATTTTGATATGGCCTTTAGACTTTTCCACGGGCAGGATGGTGTCGTCCCACTTTCAGGGAGATCGCTTATTCAGAAGGAGAAATCAGGGTCTGACAAACCATCATCAACCCAGTTCAACCCTTTGGCTGCAAGGGCAGCTACCATTAGCCTCTCAGGTTTGGGACTCGGAGGGCCTTTTGGTTTTGATGCATTCTCTAAGAAGTGGAAGAGTCAAAAGAAGAACTCTAAATCATCTAAAGATGGGTCTCCTCCACAGGTATACTCAAGAGACCTTTTAGTAAAATATTGGTGCTAATAAAAGTTCTGTGCTGGCTCCTCAAAGGCTTTCTCAAATAAGTTATCGACTTCAATTTGTTTGGTTGTCATCACACACTTTTTTTCGTACTTCTTCTCTCCCCTTCTTCTGTATCCGTTATCTTCCTCATTTTTTGCTTGTCCCAAATCATAATTTACACATTGGAAATGAGATGAGTTGCAGTTACAGTTGGATTGGAATATTGCATATGACAGATACAAGAGAGATGTCTAGAGATAATATTAAAAGTCAAATGACCCAATTATCATTACCCAATTAGATTAAAGCTGATAGCATATCTGAAGTTTTAGGTATGCCAATTGGAGAATTTTAAATTTGAGTTTGAATATGATCTCTGACAGCACAGCTGTAGTTGAATGAACAAAAGTTTTTTGGACGAAATAAGCTTATTTTAAGAATGAACAAAAGTTATCTTTTCTCAAATATGAGGTTTCGTCAAATGAGGAATTTCTTTCTTTGGAATGGAGTAGCTAGTAACTAGTAACGCATAAACCCCAAACATTTTCCTTGTGTGCTTTAATCTTCAATTTCTAATGCCCAAGAGTTAGGTGTTATTTTGGGAGTCTGTAATTAGACTTTTCCAATATTCCATGTGTGTGTGTTTGTAACTTTATGTTGCATATATTTATCTTATTGCATTATATTGCAATTTTGCAAGACTGTTTGGTAAGAACCTATAATAGTCAGATCTAGTGAAATGTGGCTGAAATGACTGATTTGATTGAACCCAATTAATTATCTAATGTATTTATCTAGTTTTTGTAAATAAAAGTAAAACAACATCTGAAAATGAAATAATCATTTTTATTAATTTCTGCTACTCCAGCCTAAAGGTATATCAAGTAAACCCTTAGTGTTGACCCAGAGTGCATGGTCATGGCAATGATAAACATTCCTCTCAATTGATTCTTTATAAATTTCAGGGAGGAGACACAAAACATGAAGCACTGAGCAATGAGTGGTTGCGAAGTGGAAATTGTCCAATTGCAAAGTCATTCCGTGCTGTGAGTAAAGTGATCCCACTTGTGGCAAAAGCGATTCGGCCTCCTTCCGGCATGCAGTTGAAATGCCCTGCCGCTGTAGTTGCCGCCAGGGCAGCAATATCACGAACAGCATTTGCAAAGAATCTCAGGCCGCAAGCTCTGCCCACAAAGGTATTGGTGATTGGTGTCATGGGGATGGCAGCAAACATTCCCTTGGGAATATGGAGAGAACACACAGAGAAGTTTTCTCTTTCATGGTTCACAGCCGTCCACGCAGCCGTTCCGTTTATTGGCATGCTCCGTAAATCCATATTGATGCCTAAGGCGGCCATGGCTTTTACTATTGCAGCCTCAATTCTGGGTCAGGTAATCGGGTCACGGGCCGAACGGTATCGCCTTCAATACATTGCGACCCAAAATGTGGCCCTTGCTGAGAATATGACTGATCAGCAATGTCTTGAAGCAGTTCCTCCTGGACAATTGGGGCTTTCTGATACCGGAAGTCATGGACCTGTGACACTAAGTGTGGGACATTGCAGTGGTGAGATGGTTGACAGGAATCGGATTGCTGGACCATCTTCACCTGTTGGTGTGCTTGGCTAATTCACAACGTCGATCTCTGTATTGACTCATCTTGTGTCAGGACACTTGATTGTCTGTATCGATCTCTGTATTTTTCTATTGTTCAATTGTGTTTTCGTAAAATCAGCATCTGAATGAGTAAATAAGAGAAGAGTTCCTCGAATGATGAAAAACCCATGGTTCATATTTGGGGTTTGTTTGGTGTTGCTGACTCCTTTATTGAACTTGTATTATACTCCGTATATTACTAGAGTATATTTTACTAAATAAAGCTGAAAGATATACTCCTTCCACCGTCAAATAGGTGCACTAATGTATAATTTTTTACTACGTACTCGTATTACATTTCAGTTAGGGATGGACCCGGGCCGGTTCCGGGCCGGGCCCGGGCGGGCTTTTTTTTTTAGAAAGATGGGCCCGGAACCGGCCCGGGGTTGTACCGGGTCCGGTCCGGGTCGGGCCTACCCGGCCGGGGTAGCGGGCCGGTTTGAGCCGGGCCCGGGCTATTTAATTTTTTTTTTGGGTTTAAATTAAGATGTAGTACAAATGGACATAAAAAAGTTAAAATACATTTATTTGAAATATGTAGTACAATTGAAAATTGAGCAAAAATTAAAACACGAAATACACTTTATAATAAATAAGAATCAATCGGAATTTCCGCCATCTTCGGTTGTTTCTTCCATAAAGTGGCGGGTGGGTTCAATGCTAACTTCTTGAGTTCTATGTTTGGCCTTCAACCAATCGTGGAAGCAAACAAGCGTCTCAAGAGAGTTTGCGTTCAATCTCGTCCTATAATCCATTAGGACGTTGCCGGCCGCACTAAACTCTTGTTCCACAACAACTGTTGATACCGGCATTGCTAGCACTTGCTTAGCCATCTTTGATAAGATCAGGAACGTTCTCTGTTTTTCCCTTCTTCATACTCAACAGGAAATATTAGATACAAAGAAAGCTCGTTGATCGAGCTTTGTTCATTAACTGGATTTGATTTACTTTTTTTTCATAAGATTGCCAAATGCAGATTTGAAAATTGATTTTCCTTTAGATGAAGAAGATGTTCGTGGCGGGGGAGGGGGTGCGTTACCATATTGTGCATGAAACTCATTAAATAATTGATATAATAAATTACTAACCTCTTGGAATTGTTGTTTAGGGTTTATGGCCTTGTCGTCGTACATAGGCAATGGACCAAAAAAAGAAGCATAATAGTAATCTAAACATTGCTCCAAAGAAGCAAGTCTAAAACGAGGATCAAGAATAAATGCAATACTATATATATATGCGGAATATAGGAATAATATTTTAAAAACTTTTGTTTCATGAAGTCACAAAAATAACTAACGTAAGCGGCATCAAAAAATTCAGAAAAAGCGCCGGCGAGATTAACAGTTTCAACAAAAAATTGGTTTGCGGTAGGTTTATAAACATGACTAAAAGTTTCAGTTGCATTATTAAAATACACCAAAACATTCACAATTTTTTCACAAGTGTCGATGTCGGCCGGGTTTATAATATAGTTAGCATATTCTTTTAAAAAAGCAGGAAAATGGTTTTTAAATCTAATAAGCACTTTAATTAAGTTATAAGTACTATTCCAACGAATACTCAAATATTTAGGAAAAGCACAATATTTGACACGCCTTTCTTTCAAATAATTTCTCCATTGCATCTTAAGTGGATTACTAGCCCAAATAAGGTTAATCCCCCCCTTCACCACCTCCATAGCATCTCCCAATGCCGCTAGCCCGTCCTTTACACATAAATTTAAATATGACATGCACAACGCTGATGAAAAAACCTACCCATCAAAGAAGATGAACCACACAATTCACGCAATCTAGGAATAGCCGCAATATTATTAGTAGCATTATCAAAACCAATAGCAAACACCTTATCAATCAAATTATACTCAATTAAAATACGCTCAATGAGAATATAAATATTATCACCGGTGTGTCGATCATTAAATTCACGAAAAGCAAGAACACGTTTATGCATACACCAATCATCATCAATATAATGTGCAGTCAAACCCAAATAATATAAATGATGATGAGTATCCTCCCATATATCACTACATATACTAACAGGTCCATCAAAGTTTGCGAAAAATGTTTGTAATTTTTCCTTTTCAAAAACATATTGCCTTATAACTTCTTTTTTAATTGTTTTGTGACTATAGTTTCGAAATTGAGGATTTAAAGTACCTTGAGCATATTCTTTTAAAGCAAGACTTTCAGAAAAAATAAAAGGCAAATTTTCTTCAACAATCAAATGAGACATACCAGTCAAATGTCTTTGATCATCACAGGAGAAATTACCGAAGGGTTGGCCAATCGCAAACCTTGAAATTTGTGTTTGCTTTGCCTTGCCTTTGGCCGATTTCTCATATTCCGCCAGGTGCTTGGCCTTAAGATGCCTTGTGGCGCTCCCGTACCCTCCAGAAGTTCCCAAGTTATACTTTTTTGGGCAATGCTTGCAAGTGGCGTACCATATCTCGATTGCGGGGTCTTTAAATTTTGTAAAATTTAACTTAAAGACAAATTCACCTTTCTCACCGCCTTGGGAAGAAGTAGCCACTTCCGCTTGTTCTTCATCATCGTCCGGTGTGCCATCACTGCCATGAACCTCGTGCTCGCCGGTTTGCGGATCCCTCTCCTCCGCATCATCATCCTCAAGCTCTTCTTCGTCAATGGTCGGGATGTGTTGTTGATGGAAAAAGGCACCTTGATTTTGTTGCAATAGTTGTTGTAATTGCTCATCGGACATTGCATCCCCATATCTTTGGTTATAATCCGCATCAAAATCATCTCGGGTTTGAGATGAAGACACGTCCCGTCCTATACCTTTGCGTGAGATTGGATGATTCCTCGCAATCTCCTTTGTTCGTTGCGGCGGAGGTTACCCATATCTACAGAAGCTCTAGCACGTTCCATCTTAAAAATATAACAAATATTAAATTCGAAGTACAATTAAACTACAACTCTAACAATTCGAAATACAATGTAATAAATTTAACTAGAATGTAACAATTAAATTCGAACTATGCAACTACTTTGTTAACAAATAATTAAATTAACAAGTTTAATTACAATGTAGAATTTAAATATGCAACTATAATGTAATAAAAGTAACTAGAATTAAATTTAATTAACAAGTTTAACAAATAATTAAATTAACAACATAACAAATAATTAAATTCTAACAATTAAATTAACTAGAATGTAACAATGCAATAAAATTCGAACTATTTGTTAACAAATAATAAATAAATAAAAATTTAACAAGTTTAACTAGTTTTATTATAAAATTCGAACAACTTTAATATAATTAACAATTAACTAGTTTTATAGGAGAATAATAAATGTAACAATTAACTAGTTTGATAGGAGAATAATAAATGTAACAATGCAATAAAATTTATAGGAGAATAATAAATGTAACAATTAACTAGTTCTATAGGAGAATAAGAAATGTAACAATTAACTAGTATTATAGGAGAATAATAAATGTAACAATTAACTAGTTTTATAGGAGAATAATAAATGCAACAGTTAACTAGTTTTATAGGAGAATAATAAATGTAACAATTAACTAGTTTAACAAGTAAACAATTAATTTCGAATTATTGTCTAACAATTTTTAATGTAACTATTTCAAATAGACTAACAACTAACAATTAACTACTTTTATAGCAATGAACTAATACTAAAATGATAAGTAAAACAATTAACTACTTTTATATTAATAAAGAATGTATGAGTGTGTAAACAAAATTAATGGGAGTGTGAGAGTGTATAAGCAATTGGATAAGTAGATAATAAGTGTATAAGTAGATATACTTAATATATATATTTATAAGTAGATAATAAGTAGATTAACTAGTAATATATAATATTATGTTTATAGTATATATAATATAAGTATATTACTATAAGATGAGTAATACACTTATATATAATACTTTAATATATATAAGTATATATTAAGTATATGTAATATGTAAATATAAGTAAACAAAATTAATTAGAGCGTGAGAGTGTATAAGCAATTGGATAAGTAGATAATAAATGTTTAATTAAGTAGATATACTTAATATATATATTTATAACTTATAAGTAGATAATAAGTAGATTAACTAGTAATATATAATAGGAAAAATAACTTTAAATAATATCAACTATATTTCATGAACCAAGAATAATACCAACTTGAGAAATAACATTTAATAATACTAACTATTTGAATATCTATCAAAAGTGATATATAGCAAATTTTCACTAAAAGTTCATTTATTCAATTCATCAAAAACTAATATCAAAATATCAAAAAAGTGACCGTATTTTCAAATATCAATTATTTGATGATTTGATCTTAGTTTTTGATGTTTTAAATGGCTGAATTTGTTATAGAAAAGTGTCTCTATTTTATTTTTGGTTTACATTTGGATAGTTAGTATTATTAAAAGTTATTTTTAAAGTATGTATTATTATTAGTTCATTGAACATAGTTGGTATTATTTAAAGTTATTTTCCCATAATAATATTATGTTTATAGTATATATAATATAAGTATATTACTATAAGATGAGTAATACACTTATATATAATACTTTAATATATATAAGTATATATTAAGTATATGTAATATGTAAATATAAGTAAATAAATATAAGTAACAATAATATAATAATTAGATATTAATATAAGTAGATAATAAGTAGATAATAAATTTTATAAATATAATATATGTAGTTATAAATTTGAGAAGATGAAGATGGAGAAGATTAGTAGAGAATAGAGATTAGAGAGTAGGAATATTTGGAGAAGATGTGTACTAAGTTGTATAGAAAAAATGGAGTATTTATAGATTTTTAGTACCTCCACCCCCACCCCACCCCACCCCCACCCCACCCCGGGACCCCATGCCAGGCTCCCAACGGCTATAGAGCCGTTTGGGTTCAAAAGCAACTGCTCTAAGGCCTGTTTGGCTGCAAAACAATTTTTTTTAAAAAAAAATACTAGCCGTTAGGCCCGGACCGGGCCCGGACCGGCCGGGCCGGGCTGCCTTTTTGATGAACCGTACCCGAACCGCCCTACTCCCCCGGGCCGGGTCAAAGCCCGAACCGGTTATTAGCAACCCGGGCCGGCCCGATTGAGTCCACCCTTAATTTCAGTCGGATTTTGCTCAACTGATTGATCATCCAAAGGCACCCCCACTTTCTCTGTAACGCCCCAAAATCTGGTCTAGTAGTTAAGATACATATGAGTAGATTTTTAGGTATTATTTTCCTAGCAAATTAAACAT